TTCTCTAGAGCTCGGTATGTTACCTCAAGCAATATACGAGATTGAGGATCAATTTCCGCCGCTTCATTAGGTCCAATTGTGAAAAACGGAGCATCGAATGCGCTTAGATCACCGTCCACAAAATGTGCACCTTTCAGAGGAAACTATACGTTCTCAGTGACTGTTATCATATGCAAGGGTGGAGAGCTTATTTACACTATTCAATCTTCCAGAATCTGAATCGTAAACGCCGTCAAAGTTTAAGCGGCTTTCGGGGAATGGTGACCAGGCTGATCGACTAGTCGTCAATCCCTCCCACAGGGATTCAGCAGTTTCCATACCTTGAGGAAACTTGAATGATAAGCCAATAATGGCTAATGACTCGATTCTGGGGGAAGACTCAGCCATGTTTGAAACAGCCCTTTCTGAACTGTGGATTCGCTTGTACTTGTGAATTCGAGTACCCAGGTTAAGCTTTTGAGCGACCAAACTAGAAGCGTGTACCTAGATGGGGAATATCAATCGGCTAAGCAGGGAAAGAGGAAAGTGGTCAAGGGAAAGCTGAAGCGAGGCTCAGGCGCTGAGAAAAGAGAAAAGAAAGGGAAAGTAGTGCTGGCGAACAACGTGTCACTAATGATGCGGCATTATAGTTTTAAGATACGGAGTGAAGTAATGAGAGGGAAGAGTTGATGATAAGTTACTGAGAGCTATATCTGATCAATCTTAACTGAGGAAGTAGAACAATGCAAGGTGTGCAGAAGTATTGGAAGGTGCATAATTGGAACGGCAGTCCTGTTTACCAATATATTCTTTTTGCGTCCCCCCGGTCATTATAATACCGGCGTAGTAGGCATAAATGAACTGCTGTGAAATAGCTTGAAGTACATAGATGTAAGATGAGCATAAATAACATAATTCATAATAGTATAATGGTGATCCTCAAACCATAACATTCTTGCACCTGTACAATACAACTCTTTTTAGCTTCCATTACCCTAACTTACAAAATACCAAAGGGCATCATCACAACAATTTGACTCAAATTTAGACTAAAATTGAGCTAATCTTGGTTCTCCATATCGCAAAGAATTTCACACCAGATTCATTCAAACTTTGATCTCTTCACAAAGTACACTTCGAGCCATAGGATTGCGACCATGTACGTGCAGAAATATAATCAAAATATACTAAATTGGGACGTTGGCTAGTCTGTTCTGATCTCATCTATTCCCATCAAGTGCATCTATCCCCTAGATAGTGGAATTCATCAGTGATGAAGCATGGCGTATCCGTCCAATCTCCTCAAATTAATCAATCAATACGTATGGCTTCTAGAACGTCATTGAATTCATGCTGCCAATATATCCGGGAACAGAAATATGCATACCATGCTCAGCTGCAAAGAGCTGATCCTAATTCAAGTTCTCCTAAGTGACCTTTTTACCAAGAGCAGTAGTCATGATTTCTGATGATTATTGGATATCCCTCAATAAACGTCTGCTGACTTGCCAGCATGCGATTGGCTTTGTATGCGGCTCGGTCAGAATGTAGGATTGATGACACGCTGACTGCATACCACCATCTGTGAACTTTTAAAGAAACTAGAAATACAATAAAAGCCATCAATGATCCTTGCTAGCTGCTCCTATCCTATCGCCCTAGGTGAAGAAACCTTACCGGTACTTATGTGAGAGATATGCCTACTTGAGCTAAGTGTCTGAACCCTCAATAATACTCAAAATATCATGACCACCATATAATGACTTCTTAATCAATCTTAGCTCCCATTCCGACGCTTTGGGTCAACGGACAGCTAATCTAGTAATATTCCGACGGGAATCAGTTTCACCGCAGTTAAGTTGTATGACCTTCGGACTTCCGAGCTTATACATCACAATTTGCCTTCCAATCAAAACCCCTAAAATATTATCCATAAAAGAAAGTCTGCATTGGTTGGCTGGCTTTGTAAAGAAAAATCCAAGGAGAACCATCTGATAACATTAGATTTATTCTTGTCCTTGGCAACAGGGTTCATTTTCTCCGAAGCTTTATGTCGTTGCCGGTGCAAGCCAAGTGGATAAGACGACCCGTTTCTCACCGGCATTGCGATCCTTGCATGGCTCCCCATGGTAGTGAATCCTTCGCTGAAAGGGATTGCAAAATTGATACAGATGCACCTACACCTGCAACTGCAAACTGCAATATATATTTTGTTTCAATATTCCAGAGGCACAGTATGGCACAATGCAGTGGATGCCATTGGATCTTGGGATCGCCGTGAAAATCAAATGATCAAATGAACAAATCGGAAATTAAACTCACCTGAGTGGTTGTGGAATAGCAACGACCAGTCAGGCTGCTTCGCAATGCCAAGACACAGGTCAAAATATATCGCAGTCACTGATTCACTGGGGTGATTTCAGGATTTAACTGGATGTGTTACACTTAAATGTGGCTTGGCTTCTTGATTTGACAAAAAAATCAATGTTTCGCTTTGTTTTCAATGCAGATATGTAGTACAACCATCAACGTGTAACGGCACATGCAATACCAATGTCAAGATAACCTTAACCAAGGCTGCAGGAAAAAAGCCATCACTCTAGCGATAATCTGCCAGATTTGGGGGAGATCGATTGGGAATAAATTTCACCCGTAACACTTTCTTCTGTGTCTTGAGAATCATGACCAGCCTTGAGGTTATCACGACGAAGCAGACCTCGGGCACAATGCCCTCCTCCGTTGCTCCTGGAAAAGTGGTGCCAGAAGATTTGGGGACCATCAGCGATCAGAGTGCTAGCGACGGCACAAGGTACCTTTCTGGATGGCGATTAAGTCTGCTCACACTTGGGTGTGCTTGAATGTTCGATAAGCGTAAGACTTTGCTGACTTGTTTGCAGTCTATGCCTGAGTCTTATGCTCTCTTCGCTGGATATCACTATCGTCAGCACTGCTCTTGTTACTATCTCTGATGACCTTCAGGCATTCGATCAGAGCAGTTGGATAGTGAATAGTTACTTGACGACATACTTTAGTAAGTAAGTCCTGTTACAAGCCTGTGCGCTTTCTAATATTCTAGGTGCTCTGATCATTTGGGCTAAGATGAGTGATCTCGTTGGTCGTAAAATTATGCTTGTTCTCGCCCTCGTGATCTTTTTGGCGTTTTCGGGTGGCTGTGGAGGGGCATCAAATAGTACCCAACTGTAAGGAACCCATAACTTCAGTAATGTATAAGCCTAACCAAAAGATAAAGTATTACTTTCAGAGCCCTACAGGGCGTTGGGGGTGCTGGAATATTTAGTATGGTACCTATAATCGTAGCGGAGATGGTCGTGCCGGAGCAGTACGGCAAATTTAACGGCATTGTTTCTCTAGCTCTGGCTATTAGTTTTCTCCTGGGTCCACTTCTGGGAGGTGCAATCCCTCAGCATACAACCTGGAGATGGATCTTCTGGATTAACTTGCCTATCGGTATGGTAGGATTAGTCTTGGTCATGTTAGCAATGCCTGCAGGCTTTCCTGACAACAGACCATCTAAAGCGATGCTACTGCCACCAAAATTGAGCGATGTGCGGGGAAAATTCGACTATGTGGGTTTCCTGTTACTCCCAACCGCTTGTATTTTTCTTATTGTAGCCTTCGAGGAGGCGGGGGTAGCCTTTGCTTGGAACTCGGCCTTGGTGATCACTTTCTTGGTGCTTGCTTTTGTTCTTCTTTCTCTGTTCTTTGCATGGCAGAAATTGCTATTTTTGAAACAATCTACAAGACAACCCGTCATACCATGGGTATTCCTGAAAAATAGGGTTCTTATGGGTATATACATGTAAGGTCTACTCAATGCGACTGGAATTTTCAACTCTTGACTGACACGAAGTTAGTTACGCGCTCTTTTCAGGAGTCCCTTTCGTGACTTTGGTGATTGAGATTCCACAGAGAGTCCAGAACATCAGCAATACCTCGACTTTGATTGCGGGCGTGCGCGTATTGCCATACACAATGTCTGTTGCTGTCGGTTCAGCAATCACTGGGGGGTTAACGGCGAAAGGTCGGATACCCCCGATTTATGTGCTGATCACAGCTACCATTCTGCAAATCCTTGGAACTGGGCTCTTATACTCAATACCAGTAACAGCTCATATGCCGGCTAGTTTCTACGGGTATGAAGTGCTGGCAGGAATGGGTGTTGGCCTTGGATTGACGACGCTATTAAGCATCACACCCTTCATCGTTGAAAAGCGACTTTTAGGTACCTATATATTTTCATAATTCAAAATTTCTTTTGTTTTCGGGAACTAACAATGACGTAGCTGTTGCACTCGGCGGTGTCACACAGATGCGAATTCTTGGAGGAGCGATTGGCGTTGCAATTGCTACTAGTCTACTGAGTAGCAATGTCATATCAGCCCTGGCTGATATCCTACCTGCTGAAACTGTCAATCACCTTCTTCAAAATATCTCTTCGGTGGCTTTACTGTCTCCGGGTGATCAAATCGCGGTTCGAACCGCGTTCGCTCAGGGATATAAGAAACAATTGGCCATGATACTAGGTTTTTGTGCTGCTGAGCTCTTGGCTATAGGGCTTATGTGGGAGAGAAAACCTCGCAGACTCGCATAAGTATAAGATATCAATGTAACCAATATAATGGTAAGGCTAACGAATGTTGGAATGTCGGAACAATGTTGTGTTGTCTCTTTCAAGGATTTTAGCGGAGATGTGAATGTGGGGCTCAGAAGTCACGACGGAAAAGATAAGCTTAAAATAAACCTTTTCTTAACCACCATGAACATCTTGAACAAGTACTTTGAATGGTCAATTTATTATATGGTAAATTCTAGTCGAGTTGCAAATATTGAAGGCTGAATCGCAAAGAAGCAGAAGTGTTTAAGGTGGACTTGGAATTTACACGTAAAGATGAAGCATAGGTGAGAAAACCTATTCACATAGTCTAGCCTGTGTAAAAGCCTCTCCTGCTCTTCCCTACTCTAACTACCTAAGTGCATAAATTTCGAGTTAGAGTCTCAGCTTACGAGAACCATTGCCTGGCTTCCTGCATCGCTTTGATAGTGCTGTCTATTGTTGTGAGTACCGTCTTTCGTAACACCAACTTTCTATCCACTAAAACCTCGAAGCTTCGATCTGACCACACGCCGTAGCAGACGGCAATAACTATTGACATTATCATGGTCATATTTATTATTTGCTGGAGTGTTCGTCGATGCTGGCCTTGTGCGGAAAGCTTTCGGGTCCAATCGTTGAATTTGGGAGACCTGCAGCGGAGGTAAAAGTCAAGTTGAGATCGGCTGTGAAAAAAAAGTCAGCATGCAGTTGAGCCAATGATCGTCAACCCAGCTTTACAAAGACTTCAGTCTCAGGTAGAAGGGCCATGCTTACGGATATATGACGGTGTTCCAAGCCCCGGAATCATTATACCAGCTTTGACAGGAATCAAAAACGGTTTCTTGCATATCTCTTCTGATATCTTGTACCCACTTTTCTACTGCCTCGGGCTTTGGTTCCAGACAACTAACATACCCTTGGAGAATGGGGGCGATCATTTTGAGAATGTATTGGACATTATTTTCGATGCTCATGATGACTGAGGTATGACCAACGAAGGTGTTTGGGCCCATGATCATGAAGAAATTTGGAAACTGGTCAATTCCTGTTCCCATATACGCTTGGGGGCCTCCTCGCTCCTTCCAAACGTGCTGAAGGGAGATACCCTGGCGTCCCATGACGGAGAGAGGGTGTAGAAATTGTGATACCTTGAATCCCGTTGCTAAGACAAGAATATCGGCGGGATACTGGCTCGGCAGTGCAGCGAGGTTAAACTTTGATTCAGAACTCCCGACAGTCACTTCATTGCATCTCATACCTATCCAAGGCTGTGTCGTTAGGATATAGCGAGGATCGCTCATACTCTGGAGCCAGTCATTGTCGAAAACGCGGCGCTTACAGCCAAGACTATACCGCGGCGTCAATATGGAATGATATTTTTGAGGTGCCAGCTTTCTCATATGGTCCAAGGATGACTTTTCCGAGATTTTCCGAAGCTCCAAGTTTTTTCGCTTGAACGTAGCGTACCATAGCAACTCAGACATGCAGCAAACAATGAAGCGAACGAGGAAGCCCAAAATCGGTACGGAGCCGTAAATCATAGGTGCGAACTTTGCGTAAGCCTCTTTACCTCCTGGCTCTTTAATGCGAGGAACAAACCACGGTGGATTTCGTATAATGTGCGTCAATGACTTGACCTTGGTTTGAAGAATTGCCGGTGCAATCTGGGCGGCGGTGCAGCCTGAGCCCACAAGCACGACGTCTTTTCCCTCAAGATTGACATTTCTCGGCCATCGAGCAGAGTGCAAAATCTCACCGCTGAACATGTTCCTTCCTGAGACAGTTTCTGGCCAATCTTTAGGATTGGTAAGAATGCCGACACCACTGATAACCACTTTGGCTCGGATTATCTCAAGTCGACTATGAGTTATGAGTTCCTCTCGATAAACACGACAGATCTCGATTTCCCATTCTTCTTCCTCCTCTTTCCATTTCAAGCTCTTGACTTCCGTGTTCAAATTGATCTTGTCTGCTATCTCAAAGCGTTCCACTACTTTATTGAGATACATCACATAGTCACAACCTGAAGGAAACACGGTCGGTGAAGTGTAATTCGGGGCGAAGGAAAATGAGTAAAACAAGGTTGGTCTAAATAAGCCCAGTGAGAAAGCGTTACAACACTAATGATTGGCAAACCTACACATCACAAGCCTAGACGAATGTATTAGCTAAAAATGGCACAGAAGTGGAATTTTGAGACGCTCACGATTCCGGGATATCTGTTCGTCCACCATGTGCCTAATGGTCATTCTCATCAGCTTTACTCTGCTTTGATCTGTTCGAAATAAGAGTAGAGATTTAAATTTTACCTCCAAGCCCCTCTTGGCGATCAAATATTTTGAACTGGTCAAAACGAAGCTTGCTTTTTAATTGACAGCCCATGGCTATGCCTGAAGGTCCAGCCCCAATAATGACGATGGGATAGTAAATATGGGAATTCTCTCCATAAGCATCACGTGTAGAAATCCGTGCTGATGACTTCATACTTGCAGTTGGTGATGGCTGGAATTGACAATAAGGAAGGTGAAATCTCTCTTTGAAAGTTACTGTAAGTACCAAAAAAGATCAGGCTTATCTATTCTGTCTTCAGTCGTTGGATATTGCAACAACAGAATGGCAAGTTATAGTTCTTCATTCAACGATCATCTTCTTTCTGGGAAGCGGTCGTACCATCAGTGCCATGATAGGCAGATCCTCGCTGCAAATGCCGGTCACGACCACTGGCTGTAAGTTTCCCCAATTTCCCCACTAGAGCTAGAAACTGGCTAATTCTCACCAGATGATTACTGAGACTTGCAGCATTAAACTCTCTTTTTGGACATATGCAGACCGAGAGAAGCTCCGTGTTAATATATAGTGACATCTTTTGAGGAGATTACAGCATGCAGAGCTATAGATATTCCTTAGCTGAACATGGTGCACAGCCCGGATTCACTCGTTCATCAATAATAGTCAACAATACTTGGAATCCTTGAAACAGAAATGTTCGAATTGAATAGTTGCTTTCGATTTCTGTCAGAGCTAGGCCTTGCATTAAATTCGATATCGATATTGCAGCCACACTTTCTACCTAATAAGACCGGGGCCGTTATTTGTAGAGACACCCTGGGGGAAACGACGGGCTCCGAAGGCTGTGACTTTTTGCATTGCCGAAGAAAATACAACATGTAATGCGGCACAGATAGCGGGGTAGCTTCCTACGTGTTGGTGGCGTACAAGGGTGCCAGATATGATACGAGGTAGATGAGGTTTCACAAAGTGACTTAGCAGGCTTAACAGGCTTAACAAGGTGTGTAATTAGTAGTTGCAGTCGTATTGGTTGTTTTGGTCTTGGCAAAGCTTAGAGTTATCATATCCTACTACACTGTTTAGATAGAACTTCTGGCTTTTTATCTAAGTATCGCAAAACCACAGCATCTTCTCAGTTTTTCAAATCAGAAATTATGGAGATACAAACCTTACTTCTAGCCTTATTCATTACTTACGGAGCTGGGCTACTGACTTATCGATTTCTATTCCACCCTCTTGCACATATCCGCGGACATCCACTTGCGATATCGACTTACCTCTACGAATGGTACTACGATTTGTACCTCAGTGGTCAATATACCTTCCAACTTAAAAGGTTGCACAAGCAGTATGGTATGGTGTTTGAGTCTTTTGCCGTAACTTCAGCATCACTGATATTTCCCTCTAGGCCCCGTCATTAGAATCAACCCGAATGAGGTTCATATCGATGATCCTGATTTCTTCGAAGAGGTGTTTAATCAGTCAAATGGCCGAACGCAAAAACCTCTAAATGTTGCTGAAGCATTCGGTCCATATCCAGCGGTAGATCTCAGTCTCTATCAGTTTAAATCATGTTGCTAATTTTGCAAAGACTATAGGAACACAGGATCATGAGCACCACCGCATAAGAAGAAATGCTCTCAATCCATTCTTCTCCAAAAAATCAATCAACGACCTCGTTTCAAGAATCCAACGTCCTATCCTCATTCTTTGCGATCGACTTGAGGAGGCAAGTAAATCTGGGGTAACTCTCAATATGAAGTATTTCTATGCGGCAGTGACACTGGATATCATCAATGACTACTGTTTCTCGAGGCAGCCAGATAACATTTTGAGGGAAGACTTTGGACGTAAGTCCTTTGACGACGTGGACAACTTCTTGGTTATTAGTCTTTTGGTACGTAAAGTATCAATCAATTGGAATGAATACTAACTTTCAAGAACATTCATATCCCGTACTTGATGAGATTTAGCTATTCTCTTCCGGTATTTCTAGTCCTTTTTGGCCTTTGCTTTCCGACGATGCTGACATCTTTAGGACAACATGAACAAAATCTTGGCTCCTGCCATGGCAGACATCCTTGATTACCGCAAGGTAAATCTTTAATAACTAATCCTGACTCAATCAATCCTTAACCAAGTATAGGATCTTTCTAGACAAGTAGAGTCCATTCGAAATGAGCACGAAGAGCCCGAATCAAGGAAACTTGTTGATAGGACTGTCTTTCATGAGCTATTAGAGAGCAAGTTGCCACCCCAAGAAATGGAGCGAGACAGACTACGTGATGAAGCTTTCAGTTTAGTCACAGCAGGCTCTGGTACAACGTGAGTAGTCTCTGCAGAAAACTTTGCGAATGATAGCTTACTATGTATGTATCCAGAGCATATGTCCTCAGAGGAACCTCATATCACATCTCGGCCAACCCTGTGATTACTCAGCGGCTTCACGAAGAGCTGAAATCTGCCATTCCAGACCCTTCAAAATCTCTTTCACTGTCAGAATTAGAAAAACTGCCGTATTTGACAGCTGTCATCCAAGAAGGGCTCCGTCTTGCCGATCCAGTTACCCACCGTATTGGCCGACAATTCCCAGATAAAACCTTCATCTGTCATGGTAAAACGATTCCAGCCGGAACAATAGTTAACATGACAGCCTTACTCACGCATCAAAATGATAAAATCTTCCCGGAACCTATGGTTTTCAAGCCAGAGAGATGGTTGGGGATTCAGAACAAAAAGCTCGAGCGGTACCTTGTCCCCTTCAATCGCGGAACTAGATCCTGCTTAGGTATCAATCTCGCTCGCGCAGAGCTCTATTTGATTTTAGCTTCTGTGTATCGACGGTTTGATTTTGATGTCTCACAAGTTAATAGAGCTCGTGATATAGATGCTAGCCGAGATTACATTCTAGGCGCCCAGGCGAGAGATACCCCCGGTATATTGGTTAAAGTGAGAGAGAGAGATTGAGTCTATTAGTACAATACCGCACATTACTTAATCTGGAAAATAATCACAATAGTCATACGTCGTACAATGATTTTGTGAGAGCTCACACTAAAAACACTACTAGCTCGCTCGCGGTGATTCTAATTGAAGCATATCTTTCTTCAAGCAATTGCTGACTTACTAGCGAAGTAGCCATCTATTAGGCCTCCACACTGAGAATATTCTTGATGAAGATAAATAAATAAATAGTCCGCGATTGGAGAAGGACATGTCTCACCGTCGACTGGAGGGTTTCCTGCAATTGCAAAAAGTTCGGCAAATAGGGATGTCCGCTCCAGTAGGACGAAAAGCTCGGCACGCCAAAAGATCACACCATTTCTTTAAATTCTCTTCTAAATCAGACTTTCAAGATTTCTGGCTATCAATTGGATCAAGATATGAAAAAGAAAAAAAGATACTTATAATCTATAATTAGTTTATCTTTTTTTGAAGATCCGTATCACTTTCTGACATTATTACCTAATACGTTCGGAGTGATAGTGTTTCTAGCAGGGTTTAGATTTTGGCGAATTTGGTGCGCCCGGTTATTTCGTTCTGGATGGATGTCCAGTTGATAATGCGGAATGCTTGCAAATATGCATTCCATGTAAGACTCAAACATATGCCGAATCGACTCAACAAATGGGAACGGCCGGTCAAGCTAGTATATTCGTAATCCCGCCTTTAATCCTGGGGAAATAAGGATTAGGGTGGCATTACTCAAAGACAAATCAAAGTAGACCACCCCCCTTTCTATTATTGTTGGGGTTCTACGGCAGTACTCGATCGAAACTTGGCATTCGACTTTCTCCTCACTTTTGTAGGTCAATTTTAAAAATTGAAGCCCTTCGCGGCGCAGACTTATTCCAAATTAAATTGCTAATTTGTGGCTGCTTGAAGGAAAAAAGAGGGAAAGGGGGGGAGATTCAATAAGTGGAAAGAGTGACGATTAAGAACTAGCTAATTGTTTGATTCCATACATCATTCCTTCCAGCATGGATCTCTGGGATCTCTTCTACCGTTGACTGTTCACTAACATAATCACATCTCAGAAACAATGCGTTTGCATCAGAACATATCATATTTCAATTCGACTACAAGATGGATATCAATTAAAAGTTCTGTTTGTTGAATATTTTTCTTTGTCGGGATCCCTAGCATTTCAGACAAGGTGGCGTCCCCATTGTTTGTAATTATTGTAGGAAAGCTTCACAATAATTTACTTAACAAGAAAGATCTTTGAAGAAATGCAACCATGACTGCAGCCATAGCATGAGGCCTTGTTGAAAGCCCTCGTCTGAAAAGTATGAGGATCTCTGACCCCTCCTTAGACATTACGATTGACTGCAGCTGTAGTTCGAAGGTGTAACGGTCCTATTAATATCCTCAAACTCTATTCGCACACCTGTAGGTACCACAACAACACTCTAGTTGAGAGTTAGGCACAACCAGAACCCTCTTCTGATACTCGACATTGCCTCTCGTGTTTCGTTGACTTCAAATGCCATCCTCCATTTTCTTAATACATATAATGTAAGTGTCTCTGCGCTTGCTCTAATTCTACTGCGCTACCTTACTGGAGCCCTTTGTCAGACTTTCTCTTTGACGATCTCAACTCTGCCTTCTATCTTATCAATAAAACATGACTACCCCCGCTTCCTCCGCTCCATATAAGCTGGGACTGAATCATGTGGGATACACGACTCTGGTTATCTGCATATTCTTTATGGCATATCTACCTAGCCGCTGCGCTCCGCGTCTGGACTAGGGTAGTAAAGAGAGCCAAGTTTGGTATTGACGACTGGCTTCTCATCGCCAGTGTCATTTTGTTCTTTCCATTCTGTGCCAATATACTGGTCGGTGTCTATACGATTGGCAGTGGACAGACATATACCGACCCCCTTGTGCTCGCTCTAAGTCGCAAACAGTATTTCAAGAGCGAGTATGCTATTCCTCCACTTTACGCTATCAATGTCACTACCATCAAACTTTCGATCCTATTCTTCTATCGTCGCATTTTTACCACCGATAGCTTCTTGAGAAACAATTACATTATCATGGCGATATGCATAGTTTGGTTTGTCGTTACCATCATCGGTGACCTACTCTACTGCATACCCATGGCTACATTTTGGAATCCAGAAGTCAAAGGGAAATGTTTCAATTTTCCACTGTACTTCTTAATTATGGAGCTTGTCGATATGTTGTTAGATATCGCCATTCTTGGTCTTCCATTGAAAATCATTCTTAGCCTACATATGCCATTGTCAAAAAGACTTGGAATACTCTGCATCTTCCTTTTGGGAGCACTGTAAGCACCCCCGTTCGGTAATCATAGATCATAAGCAAATAATATTCATGAATATAGGGTCGTTGTTACCAGCGCCATACGAATCGGATATGTTTACAAGCCAAGTGCCTCACTACGTAAGTCTCTGTCTTTTCTTGATCAGAACTTAAGCTGAGAGAATACAGTATCGCTAGCGCAAGCATCTTTATGGTCGGTCATTAATCTAGGAATAGCGATCCTCTGCGCTTGTTTACCGACATACAAACCTCTTTTTGGCAAGTTTCACACTATAGGCACTTCGCTTTGGACCAACCATTTTTCTGCGAATTCCGACAAAAGTACGACTAAGGCCGCTTCCGATTTGCACACAAATCCTGCCGCTTACTATTACAGAATGGGGGATAGCAATGGCGATAACATTCATATGACGGGAGTTTCTACACAGATACAGAGCGGCAATAAGGCACCGAGCTTGCCTTCGGATGGTGTACGAGTCCAGCGGGATGTTCATGTATCATAGTTTCAATGCTGTTGTTGGCTGAACAAAATTAGACGTCAAAAATTAACTGTCGGTTGTGTAGTGGGGCTTGGTTTTGCCGTTCCATTAATGTAATTTTCCAATATTTACTGCCAAAGATGCTTGGGCAGTTGGGTGACATTGTTTTCAGAATATATATGGGGTACTGTCTGGCTACAGTTTTGCCTTTGCATTCATCAACAGGAGATTTGCTTTCATCCCATAATATCGGGGATAAGATAGAGTTGAAAGATGTCGATCTTCTATCAAGAGCTTTTGTATTTTGCTACATTCTAATCATTATATGCGTACCTGTGAAATTCAATTGCAGTGGCAAGAAGTGTTTGAAACTATTGCTGACTCCATGTAAAAGTCTGTCCATGCGTGCTACAGTATAAATCTTCATCAGTATCAACAGCCTCGCTTATTAAAATAGCTTTTGTTTGTTGGACTGCAGATACTAGGTACCTACATACACCTCGGTATATGTTTAGACTGAGCCACTCACCCACATGTTTCGTTTTCCTGTGGCGTGTTCTATGGGTATATATTTACTGAGTTCCACCATTTGGTCTGTTCAAAGAATCTCTTTTTAATTTTTACTTCAAATTTCGATCCATCATTTAAGCGGGATTTGTCGAGGCTTTCCACATACCTAGACAGTCCACGGGTAACCATATCGCTGCCGCGGACTGTGACTGCGAACTGCGAATTCACTTCATTTCCTCGTTAGTATTCACCTAGAAGTTTCTGCTTCTTCCACCCTGGCACAATTCTCCTAGCGTTGTGATTATACAACCATTCTCAATCGATTAACTCCTCTATTCTTTTTTACAAATCAAGCTCCGATTTATTTTTCGCTACATATCGGGCTTCTGCTAATCTTGTCTGCAGTATTCAACACAAGATATTAGTTTGAGAATCCCAAGACGCATATATTCCCGTTTGCAACACTCTACTTCAAACAGGCCTATTAAAAATGGATTTTCAAAATATCAAACACCTGACTGCTGCGACTAAGCAAAATGAGAGAAGAAATATTGGAACGATGCAATCAGCACTTCTATCTCTGTCCAGCAAGCTGCAACGACACAGGATCTTCCTGTCAAAGGTCCTGTATGGGTTAGCAAATTCACAGCACCGTCTCCTTCCCACGATGACAACTCTCGAGAGTTACTTCTTGGTCGCATCGATGAGGCAAACACGCATAATATACATTATGATCGTCCAAATTGCGAGCCACTCTCCTGTGAATGGACAGGTTACCACGAGGGAGTTGAAGCGGGTACGCTCGAACCACTACTGTCAGAAAATGAGAAGTATCAAAAATTAGTGGAGGGTACCAAGAGTCCATTAACAGTTTTGTATCTCTATGGCGGTTCATTCGTGTATGTGTACCCCTTTCAAATATCACTTGTAATTTACTCACATGTGAGCTTTAGACTCAATACCCCTTCCAGCTACCGAAGACGTATTGGAAGCCTAGCCAAAGCAACAGGAGGTAAAATCCTAATGGTGAAGCAGCGTTTGGCACCACAGAATCCCTTCCCAGCAGCTTTCCTCGATATATTCCAAGCCTACCTTTCACTTCTCGCACCACCTCCAAACTCACCACACGAAGCCATTCCAGCCAAGAACATTGTAATAGCAGGCGATAGTTCCGGATCCGCCCTCGCATTAAGCTTATTACAAGTTCTTCTGCAGCTCAAACGAAAAAATGCCGTCATCAATTTCCATGGAAATACAATCCAGCCAGCCGAGTTCGTACCCGCAGGTCTCGCAGTGTTGAGCGTCACAACTGATCTAGTCAATGCGCTTCCCTCACACAAACGAAACATAATGCATGATATATTTCCCTTTCCCATCGAGAAACTCCCCTACCTAGAAAAAAGCTTTCCTACCTGTTTGATCTGGCCAACCAAGCCCGCACGAGCAAATTTATACTGCGAGGCTGGGATGCTTGCTCACCCGCTAGCAAGTCCCGTTGCCTCCTTTGATTGGTCTGGTTCTTGTCCTCTATGGTTTGCATCGGGGCAAGAACAAATTGTGGATGGCTCCCGACTGTTAGCTCAAACTGCTTTTTCACAGGGCGTTACAGTTGTGCTTCAGGAATATGAGGGTATGCCTCATACATTCTTCTGGGTATTTGGCAAAGCACCGCAGACGAGAAAGATTCTTGGTGATTGGGCTGAGGCTATAGTCGCTTTTGGGGAGGGCAAGAAATTAGTTTCTAAAGCGGAATTTATTCAGGCTAAGGGCTTGAAGACAGAGGAGTTGAATTTGAAGAATTTAGTGTCTTTTGGTGTGGCAGAGGCGAGCGAGCTTCTCTGGAAGAAGACATTAGATTATAAGGTCCCATTATTTCACCAACACTGTCAGTCATCCTTGTAGTTGACATTTCTTTAGTCTGGAGCCAATTCAATTCGCATCAATTCGGTTAATCTATTGCTCTCTGAGACAATAGAAAATGTCGTCACTAGAGACCTATGTAATGAAAAGTTTATTGATCAAGTCTCAAATTCCTCGAACTCTTCGCTTGGCATTATTTGGTGTGTTCTAATTTATGAATTAACATCCCTCAGCATTATCCCAGCTCTGCAACTTATCGTACAAACAACCAACACTTCCTAACACCGTTACTCCAGGTTGCAGACGTAAGTAACCACATCCGCTCATCCGTCGCTTCATTGATGTGGCGAGCAAAGTAAAATTAGACCCAAATTTGCCAAGATTCCGTGATCGCGTACGGGACGCTATTATAAATACCTAAACCATGGTCTCCTTTTCCCTTCTTTCGGCTCCTATCCTACAAGGGTAGATACACTCATCTCCTCGATTCCCTCCTCGACTCTCTACTTCTATCTCTCTTTCTATCACGATCCTTGTCTCTGACTCTGTCGCGATCTCGATCCCTATCCCTCCTATCCCTATCCTTGTCTCTCTCCCTATCTCTACTCCTACTCCTCTCCCTCCTCCTATCCCTGTCTCTACTTCGACTTCTATACCTCCTGGAATGCCCATCTCTATCTCTATCTCTCCTATAATCGGGCGATCGGCTCCTCCTCCTCGGCCTATCATCATCTCTTGATCTCCTCTCCTTTTCCCTATCCCTACTTCTCTCCCTCTTCCTTGGGGAACTTCTCGCAACTATACTTTCCCTTCGTTCAGTGGCACCTGGTACATATCGGTCAATATTGATCGGACTAGTGCTTCTCTCGATCCGACTACTTCGTCTCGCAGTAGGTGACCTACTTCTTGCGCGAGATTCTCTCCTATGACTTTCCCTATCGCGAGAAATATCTCTTTTTCTTGCCGAGACAGGACTGCTCATTATAGCATCATCCTTTGCTCTAGGTGTGGCAGCGATGGCCTCTTCCTTTTTGGTTGATAAACTAGGTAATTGCGGCTGATTCTTTCGTTCTTCGTTCCACTTTCTAGCTTCCTCAGCTCTTGCTTGTGCCGCAGCAACTTTGTATGATTCCGTATCGAGATTCGAGGCGCTTGTCCTAGTCACACTGCTCTCTGCACGTCTTGTGTCACGGTCCCCTACACGTTCACGGCTTCGTGATCTGTAACTTCTTCGTCGGTCGCGAGATCTCGATCGAATACGATCTCTATCACGCCTATCATCACGATCTCTACTTGACCTACGTCGTCGATAGTCGCCTCGATCCCGATCTCTACTATCCTTTCTATCTCGGTCGCGATCCCTATCTCTGCTGTCTCGTCGTCGTCTATCATCCCGATCTCGACTTCCACGGCGAGAGCGCTCATCCTTGTCTTGGCGGCCATCGTAATTTACTTCTGTAGCTTTAGATTCCTCATTAGTCTTTGTCTCATCCTTAACCTTAGTAGCATCCCTGCTTGATTCGGGACTTTTAGCTCGTTGACTACCTTCTTTGTCATGGCTGGACTCATTCGCCTTGTCTACCATCAGCTTTGTATCGGCTAGTTGAGGCGTTTTCGAACCGGATTCTTCCTTGAGCTTCGCAACTGCAGTTTTCTTATGCTCAATCGTTTTAGCAGGCGTATCTCGAGATATTGGTTTGATGGCTGAGGCGGGCATTGCCTTTCGGGGAGGTGGTGCCAAGGTCTCGTCAACCTCCATCTCCAATAGATGTCTAGATCGATTAGCAACCTTTTTGCCCTCTTTCAGAAGATCATTAAGAGCCTCTTGTTCGAGACGTTCAATTTCTTCCTTAGATAATTCTGGCTTCGAGATAGGCGTTCGAACACCGAGGGAATCTCTGCGTCTATCGTCGTCATATCTTCTTCTTCGATCGTCCCTATCCCTATCCCGGCCCCTATCTCTATCTCCTCTATCCCGGTCCCGGTCGCGGTCCCGTTCTCTCTCGCGATCACGATCTCGATCCCTAGCGCGGTCTCTCTCCCTCCTCTCCCTCCTCTCCTTGTCTTCCTTTTCCCGTTCTTTCTCCCTCTCTTCTTCCGCCTCCAACTCAGCCTTTTTCCTAGCCTCCCTCTTTCTCTCCTGATCAGCCTCAATTCTCTTCTCTTCTTCTCTCCTCTTTAATTTCTCTTGCTTTCTCTTCTCGTCTGCAATGGCCTTTTCCTTCTCTCTCAGTTCCTCCCTAACTTTCTCTCTGGCCGCTTTCTTCTTTGCAGCTTCTTCCGCGTATTGCTCATCCGTTTTACCTCCTCTCAAAAACTCCTTCTCAGCTGCTTCTTCCCCAATGTCACTTTTGCGAATCGTGCGAACCCCTTCTTCAATTTCTGGAATGTATGCCTGGATTAATTTATCGATTGTCGCCTCCGCAGATTGGTAGATACCCGCGCGATCCACAGCTCCCTCGATAAGCAATGTAGCCTTACTGCGATCCAACCGGAGTAGCTGCCTGGGGTCCTTCTCTAATTGCTCTTCCGCAACACTCAATAATGAACTCGTAAATTCATCCTCAAAATCCTACAGTGACCACTCATAGTTAGTATCTGAACAATTATCTCAAAGAGCCCATTCCTATTCCCAGAAATCTCGTGGCGCAAAAGCACGTTGAAATAATTTGGAAACACATACGCCTTTCTCCAATTCCTGCCAAATTTTGGTTCTCAACTCGTCATAAGTACCCTTCTTCTTGTATGTATGGGCCAATCCTTCAATGGCCGCTCTAGTCGCAGATGCAAGTGGTAACTCTGAAGTCTTTACTTTCTTTCGCGGTGGAGGTCCAGAATGACCACCATCTTTTTTGTAGGTAGATGCCATCGTCGCCATTCTTTCCTCGTACTGAATTGAATTATTCAAAGCTTTTCGGAAATTTACTTCATATTGGAGGAGAAAAATCTTAACGACCTTGTGAACAATTGAAAGGGAGGAACAAAAAACATTGGAATGAGGAATCTCAAAGTAAGTTGTCCGCGCATTGAATTCAATTCAATAGACGCAAGTCACGTGTTACATATCGATCAGCCAATCGCGCTAGTGCGATCTAAAGTGACCTTCAACAACCATCCGAGTGAATCCTGGAGTAGAAGCCGTAGTAGCGACTACACAACCCATCATATACGCCTGCAAATCTTCAATTCTGATTGTGCAGTTCACGCCATAGCCAAGCCCACAATTATCCACCCAAGCCTCAATTCTCATATCACAAACAAAAATATGGTTCACAAAGTTCTCTTCTGGACTGGCTTTGGTATATTCCCCTCTTCCATCTGCCCCTCCTCTTACCAGTTAATTCCCCGCAAATTTCACTCTTCCCCTTTCGTTTACTGACATGCATTTTCACTAGGCCTCGCTGTCCGCGCCTGGCAACTCGGTCTCGAAATGCGACCTTTCTTCAACAGACAATCTCTCTGGGTCTACCCCGTTTTCGGCGGCGTCGGTGCTTCGTTCGGATATTGGATGCAGGGGGTTGAGAGCCGACAACAGGCTATCCTCGGAGCTAGACGAACAGCTATTTTGGAGAAGAGGGCGAGGAGGAAGGAGAGGGAGGAAGCTGTTGAGGAGTCATAAATTGTTTATTGGAAGAGCGCTGGGAATTTAAAAACCGGGGGGGGAGTGGGTTCTGAATGGGCAGGGGATGAAAAGAAACCAAGAAGAGATATGGAAATTGTACAAAGTTTTACGGGCGATTGGTCAATGAGAAAGAAATTGCACAAATGCCTCAACATGAAGATAATCCCCAGAGATGTCTCAATATGGTGCGGACGTTCACATGGATTTGAAGTAAGGAAGTCTGGACATTGCATTTCATTTCATCCAACCATTACACTATCATACATCAGATGTGATCCTTTTGATATCATCAAAATTCTTTTTGAACGCCATCCAACACCTGCCCAATGAAATTATGCTACTCTTTGAGCTCTCTAGATATTGCAACGCTTTATTGAGCTTCATTTACTAATCTATGAAGAACTGGTACAGAAGTAGTAGGTATACTTCCTGACTCCGTAACAACCATTTGAATATACTCGGCCGGAGTAACATCGTACATAGGATTGCAAAGTTGGAGTTTCTTGACATCCATCCAATTCTCCAATGGTCCTCCAGCAATCACGAGCTCATTGGCTGGTGCAATCTCATTAAGAACAATTGAGTCCAAAGCTACTCGATCAGTGAATTTGATGGTCTCGCAAAGAACGATGACTGGCTTGTCAGCGGATGAAGCTTCCATGGCAACCAAAGCTGTTCCTATCCTTGAATATAATCGGCCATTATTCATCATTGCGTGAGCACCTAATAGAACTTTTGTTACATCTTGGATGTTATGACTTAGTCCATGAATCAAACAGTACTTGACTTCGATACCTAGACTGACTAGTGCCGATGCTAAATGCTTTCCCTCATGTAGAGGTCTCGAGTCCACTACAATGACTCTAAACTTCTTGCCCATTTCGTGGGCTCTCACTAACGCTTTTTGCACCAGACTGCTTTTTCCGTAAGTTAATATGACATCTCCATCTCTAATCTTCTCAGCAGTAGTATCGGCAATAACTTTATCAGCAAAAGTGATTCTCTCGCGCATAAAGACATCGATGGCATCGCAAACGCTCTCCTTCGCATCGGCTTCCGACAGATCTGGGTCCGTTTTTGATATTTCCAGCTTAAGATGACGAATAGCATTACCCATAGATACCGAAAGTGGGCGACAAGAAGCCAAGTACTCAATTTGAGGAGAGAGCACATGTGGTATGAAATGACGTGTAAGACTTGCCCCTACAGGGGTTTTGTAAGATTCGACAACCTAGAAAATGTAAGAAAGTGATAATGAGATCACGGCCATTTGAAGAGGGAGAAGGGTGGAGAAAATAGATGCATAGATGAAGTGATTCTCAAAAACAAACTCACTCTTTTAAATGCTTGCAGTGTTGCCACAAGTCTTGCGCAACTGCCGCATATTGTGTAATTGCTCATTTGCAGCCCAAGGGCAAGCACTGCGGGATGAACATCCTTGTTTGCCTCAGCAATTGTAGTTGTTCGTGGTTTATATAAATGTCTGAATAGATCAACGGTCTTATCTTCGACCTTTGGGACTTCTACAGCTGGGGCGGATTTTGTTGGCCCTCCTCTGACTGGCAAATTTCGTACTTCTGAGCCTTTTTTAGGTTGAGTTTTTCCTCCCTTCGCGGACTCGCTTTTCTGTCCTGGTGCCACTGCGGCAGGAGTTGGATTTTCAGCCGTTGCTTTGCTCTGTACTGCTGCAGCTCTGCGTGCGGCCTTCTCTTCCTTTGCCTTCTTTTTCAGTTCTGCAGCTGATAACTTTCCTCCATCGGGTGTGGGTTTCGCATTTTCTTTTACATTTCCTGATTTCGTACTGGGAGATTTTCCTTGTGCTGAAGAAGGTGTGGATTCAGTACTTCCTGCCTTCGATTTGACAGCATTTGCGGGGCTTGTGGCCGCAGGTGAGTCTTCGGCAGACATTGCGGTGCTTGATATAAAAAATGGAGCACTCAAGCTTATGAACCAAAGACTAGACCTAAGACCAACGCGAAACAACTCCGTTGATATAGTCTTAAGATTTACTGCGTTTTAATCTGTTGCGACGATATTTCGTAGTTTGAGATGGTGGGGGTTTTGAAGGTTGTCGCAATAAATCCGAAAATGAGTCACTTTCTTGTGAATTCGTAGATCGTCAAGCTGGAGAGGAATGAAGTCTTCAATAATGGTTTGTTCTGAGTATGATTTGGGACGGTATAGTTGAAAATGGATTTGAATCTGGAGGATCGAAATAATTCACTGTTTTTGTCCGATGATTCGAGTTGTAGGTATATACCGATATTAATATTGTTCGAAAGGCTGAAGAACTAAAGATCACAGTAGCGTTATTTTATCCCTGCAAAAAAAGTGTGGTGCGGATCAACCTTAGTAAGCGAAACGCGGGGCATAAGATTTCGGCTCGGGTAAATGAGGTTTAGGGGGTCTGATGCCAGATGAAGACTCTGGATATAATTCAATCGGGATATTAGACTTTTTTGTTTCTCAAATAAAATACTATATACTACGTAAGAGGCTAATGGTCTCAATGGAGTCAGAGTCGTCAGGATAGGCATCGCTATAAATACATGTTTCTCCTGCTGAATGATGGGTAGTCGATACCTTACGAACTGTAGAATATTAATTAGCTTCGGGACATGAAATTTGAGCTTGGCATTTTCTACCTTTAATGACTTAGTCCTCTAGAAGCTCTGTCTCATATCCGTATAATATCTACTCGAGCCCGCTCAAATAACTTATGACCGATCATAGTTCCCTGCGTTCTCTCTTGCTGCGTCATCGATGCTGGGTATACTGTCAACTTCGCATATGTCCCCGCTCCTCTTCTTTTCGATAAATATCCTGGGTTGATAACTAACACACTTTCTACAACCTATATGTCTCAAGGTTAGTAATTTGGTCCCATAATGAACGTCCTTGATTAATCTAAACAAGGGGGTTGTAAAGATCACATACCTTGGCGAAGGGGGGTAATGAACTTGGAACCACCAACATATCCGGCCTCACATTGATCATCTCCCCCAACTTTAAGAAACTTGTATCTAGCATCGCTCCCACGGGGATCCCATCCTCCGTCCCAGTTTTCGGCAATTGAGTTCTCTGAACCGGTGGAAATAGGGGGAAGAAATGGCGTTGCTCAATTAAATACTTGGGTAATCGAGCCAGCAAGGTAGGATCCTGTGGCTTCCCTCCAATTATTTCTTCATGCCGCAGTTCATACAAGATATCTTGGGAGGATATACCCATGACGATTTCGTTCAGGGCAATTGTCATGGGATTACCGATGACACGGACAGCTTTGGGGAGTCCAACGTCTTTTTTTGGAAAGGGTTCTTGAGGCCAGGCAGCATGTTTATCGATAGCATCTTTGACTGAAGGAACAAGGAGTATAGTAATTCGGGGGTGGGTGGAAGTGAGTTGGGTGAAAGCTGGAGTAATAAGATGTTTGAAGATGGCCGACATAGTGGCGGTGTCCGGATCAGCCAGAACTTCCTCAGGGAGATCAAAATCTCCACTTGCGATTAAAGGATGATCGATATCAAGAAACGGCCCAGTCAGAACTAGTACATCAGCGTAGGTATCCGCTGCTTGGCTACAAATTGCGTGTAGAGGTTCGAAGTCTAGATTGTCATCTGCTGTAAAGGGACCACTTCCAATAATAATGTTTAGAGGTGCAGGGTCAGAGTCTTCATCCATTGCATCTGGAACTCCTCGAAGTCTTCGAACGTGCTCATCAAGGCCAGCAGGCGTGGATGCAGCAACGCCTAGAAGAGGTGGCTCAAGAATCTCGCTCACTGTAAAATCTTCCCCAGAAGCATTTATTCCCTTCAGCGCAACTATCTGCCCAGGGAAGAATTGGAATCCACTCATCTTATCAACTTTGAGTGGTATTCGTAATCCAGCTCCCATCCTTCGTGAGGTTTCAAGTACGATTGAAGAGGGATTAAGCTTTCCCTCGGCAGAGTCGCATGCAATCCTTCCAACAGATACTATTTCATTCGTACTTTGACTTGCTGCACTACCGAAGTCCGAGTCATCCAGCTCATGATGTGCTTGTATGAGAAGCATGAACTCGTCTATACGGTCATCCAATATCTCTGACGCTTCTGATGATTTCATGGCCATTGTCTTGTAAGATAATTTCTTCATATCTGAGTTGGCTGTGAGTTTGATTCTTGATTCTGGATAAGGAGCAATTGGAGGCTCTGGTAGCTCGAGGTGGTCATTCAGAACTTCTACAGTTTGGCCGGCGAACTTTCTATCGTTGAATGAAGTACTATGTTCTGTCAGTACTGGGCGATTTCAGAAGATCGTGATACCATACGGAGCATATGAAGAGCCGGCTCCAGCTTCAGCACCAGTATCAACCTCCCTCAGGTTTTTTGATGTCCTGAAGTCTGGAGGGCTACTGGCCGGTTCTGCTTTCACTCTTGACATAGAAGGTGTCTCTACTTTGCGTTTCGGCCGCGAACTCATCCCACTTCGGGGGGTATTTGGCGCAATATCTAACCTACGTTACTATGAGTAAAGATCAAATTGATAATTCAAGAACCTGCTCACATTCCAAAAACATCATTATTGTTCCCTGCATTTCGAGGCGTAGCTCCTACTCTTTTATTCGACGTTTGAGCCTTGGTTTTTCGATTCTCCTTTTCCAACCCGTCTTGCACACTTTGTTTGAGCGCTCTAACAGTATCGATATCAAATTTCATATCATCCTGTCCCATCTTAATGCTATACGATTCCCATTTGTAGAAAAGCTCTTGCGGGGGTATTGAATGCAGTCGCATAATTGAATGCAATTCTGTGAGTACATCTGGCTCAAGGGGTCCACCTGAAGCAGTCGCAGATGAAAACAAATCATTCAGCTCACTATCGTTTTCCGCCATTTTGAGGCTGTCGTGTAGAAAAATCGTTGATATTGTTGAGAAGGTTCGGTCAGGTTTGATCTTGGAAGATATTTGGGGAGACGCGTTTTGACGCGCTTCAACTAAATTGATTTTCACGAGTTTGCGCCACGAACGAGCCACAATTCATCAAATCCATGGATGGACCTCGGGATCCATGGTAACCTGTTCAACAAACCCTTTTTCAAAAGCTCAACTTAATGAATTGTACTCGTAACAGAACGTGTTTCTGTTATAATTTCTCTGGCAATTACATCCTATCCCATCCTATCCCTCTTGGCAATTGTTTCAAAACAGTAGGTACACTCAATTGAGAAGTGGTAACAAAATTAAAATTCACCAATGGAACGCTCATAAGGCTGAGCTAGCACCACATTTTTAGATTGCAACAAGTTGGTGTCAGGGCATAAGTTACTAATTACCCCTTGAATTCTGTGTCTTCTTGTCTACGGGAGCTGAATGTGATCGAATTCGGGGTGTACCATTTTGCAATCAAATATCTATTTTGTTATTTAAAATGTCAACAGAGAATCAAACCGAAGTCGAAGGCATCGAAAAAGAGATGGCCGGTGTTAATCTAGGAGGTCCTACTAATGGGCAAACATCTTTAGCTTCAACTGAGGGTAAAGGACCAAGTCCTCTTAAGCCACCATTCCTCAACCCGCTCGAGTCTTCGAAGCCTCCTCCTTCGCCAGAACTCACAGAAGAACAACAGAAAAAATACGATGCGCTGTTAGAAACTGTCAAGTCATGGACAGAAATTCCGGCTAAAGATTCAAAAGGAGGGCCTATCACAGATAGTGAAAAGTTATGGTTAACAAGAGAATGTTTATGCCGGTACTTGCGAGCAACAAAATGGTCCGCTACGGAAGCACCAAAACGACTATTAGGAACTCTGACTTGGAGGCGGGAGTACGGTGTGAGCGATCTTAGTGGCGATGACCTCTCCATCGAGAACGAAACCGGCAAGCAGTTCATCTTGGGTTATGATAACGAAGGGCGTCCATGTCATTACTTGAATCCTGGAAGACAAAATACGGAACCAAATCCCAAGCAAGTACAACATTTGGTATTCATGCTTGAGCGATGTATCGACTTGATGATTCCAGGCCAATCCACGCTCGCATTGTTGATCAACTTCAAGTCCAGTAAGAGTAGATCGAACACAGCGCCTGGCATTGGGCAAGCTAGAGAAGTCTTGAACATTCTTCAAACTCACTATCCTGAACGACTTGGGAGAGCTTTGATTATCAATAGTAAGTCTCCTAATTGACTGACAAATTCCTCGCTAATTCCTCAAAAGTACCTTGGATGGTGAACGGCTTTTTCAAACTCATCACCCCATTCATTGATCCCTTGACTAAAGCAAAGTTGAAGTTCAATGATGATATGAAACAACACGTACCTCCTCAACAACTCTGGGCTGAGTTTGATGGAGAGCTTGCATTCGAGTATGATCACGCAACCTATTGGCCGGAGTTAATCAAACAATGTGAGGGGCGTCAACAGAGTGCTTTTGAGCGTTGGGTCCAGGCGGGGAAGCAAATTGGAGAAAGTGAAGTTTATTTGAAGGGTGCAAATGTTCCTAGCATCAGCGGCGGTATTACTGAGGAAATGCCATCAAATGGCCATGCCGTTGAACCGAAGACACTCGGGACATTGTCCGAAATATCAGGAGACATCAGCGGGAAATCCGAGAAGAATGATGGGGCATGAAGTCAATAGAAAAGGCTGTACAAATAATCTGTTTGCAATAGGATAGAATAGACTAGATATTAATAAATGAACTAAATAATAAATCTGACCACACCTGAACCTTTGTACTACCTACCAGACAATATTTCTGAAGAACATGGACAATGGTGCTACCCCCTCGCTTGGCAATCGACCTCGCCCTCAATTTCAGCAGCCTTGCGACAGCCCCCCAAATCATACCTACATCCAACTTCACACAAATCACAAAGTTCGTAACTATCTTACAACGCCATATCAAGTAGTATATCCAACTACGCGCGACCAACAATTAATCAATTAAATGTCCTCCCAACCCGTAAAACCGCCGTTGACCGGTCAAGTTTCTCACACTCATCGAGGCTCCCAGTCAGGGCTGCGATATCCTTCCACCGGCAAAACGATATACCATAGACCATTGAATCGCAGCAAGACGCAGGAGCTAAGTCAAGCCAGCTTTGCATATCTATTTGGGGAGATGGTTAGTTATGCACAACGACGGGTTACTGGCATTCAAGATCTCGAGAAGCGGTAAGATTTCCTTCACTCTATGTCGAGTTTAGACAAACAACATGTGTTACCAAAAAGTACAATTCTAATCAAAACACTAGACTAAATGTTCAAGGTCACCCCATCGGCCTCAAACTCCTCGACCTCCTACTCTACCGCGAACCACCACGTACACAAACCCGACCCCTTAACATCATCGCCCTCCTCCAATTCATAACCACCGTCCTCTGGCGTCACCTCTTTTCCCGCCCTGCAGATGCACTCGAGAAATCTTCGAACCCTGACACGCCTGAGGAATACATGATATCCGATAATGAACCTCTTGTCAATCAATATATTAGTGTGCCTAAAGAAATGAATCAATTGAATTGTGCAGCATTTGTCGCAGGCATTATCGAGGGTGTTTGTGATGGCGCAGGTTTTCCGGCAAGGGTTACGGCGCATAGTGTGGGAAGGGGGGAGGAAGGAGAGTTGTGGCCGGGGAAAACGGTGTTTTTGGTCAAGTTTCAGGAAGAGGTGGTAGAGAGAGAGGCATTTTTGGGGAAGAGTTAGGTTGAAGAGAAGTGAAATTATATCATCTGGACCTTGCAACGTATCCGCGATCATACGCTGGGCGTAAAGGAGTTTCATTGGCATGGAGTTTATGGTTAATATTTGGGTCTATCTTCTATCCCGCAGTCGTTTTACTCGACTAGACACGACATGGAAGAGCACATATGCTTGTCACCATCCATCTATTTGACTTTTCTACCAACACATCACTTCTCAGTTCGGAACTAATTGCACTTCCTTTGCTTATTCACAAAGGAATATCGCAATCGTGCGGTCATACCACAAGGCTTGATCTCCAACATTTAGGGCTCGAAGATGTGGTTTTGGCAGGCGTCTGTCGAGGTGCATTCCACAAACTTCTGTCCAAACCCCAGAGAGTAGGGCACACTTGATAGAGCGGAGACTTATAACCACCAATTGGCACTAGATGAGCAGATTAATCAAATCTAAGGGTTGTTTAGAGCTTCTCATGCTGTCTTCCTTACGCCTGTATCTCTAGAAGTAGAATCATATGACACCTGAGACACCAGAAACCCAATATTCCTTGTTTAGGCATTTTTATGAACGATGTAAAATTCATAGGATTTCTCTCCGGGTATTGACACAATATGATGATATCCTTTAAGTTGAACATGCCAGTCCAACCTCTGTGCCAGTAATATAGTGCTCTCAGTCCCTATAATCCCTTCAACCTTACTCTCTCAAACAATCGTGGAGTGCCAAACTCCGTCATTGATTTCCCATTAGATTATACGCCCATTTAACTCCGAAATCCTTTCACGTTTTTTTATCTTGGAAGACTTCTTATGCCCTTATAGTTTCCTCCTTCACTTCCACTTTTACCACCTGGACCTTTCTTCATCAATTCTGCTAATCCTAAATCTTTCCAAGCTGGCTCTTTTGTCTTTTGTGTCGCCCTCTGAATCCCAAATGCTGCATGTTGATCTGGAACAACATCGTCTTCGTCTTCGGGGTTTACTGGTTGATTGTGTGGCGGTACGTAGATGTCATCGTCGGGGAGTTTGTCTTTGCAGAAGTCTTCGAAAAGATCCGCTGTGCGGGATAGTGTGAAATGGACATAGGTGTGATTTGAATCTTTGGACTGTATCATTGTTAGTAAATAGTAATAGTTTGAATATAAATGAGTCAATCATGAGTAATTTTCTATGGATTCCTACCATTTTTTCCTTTTGTACAGTGAAGTGAAATAGTAAACAGAAGGTCTGTTATTGCAATTGTTTTGTTTACTCTCTCCTCGATGATAAGTGATAACTCAATACAAGGCTATTATATGCAAGGCTGTTTATCTGTCTTATCTGCAAGGCTTCACATGATGGGTGGAATTCTAGTTCGGAATTTACTTATTCCGCTGTCCATGCTCTCTGCCTTATACATCAGGCTTCAGACTAAAAACATCATTTGTGCGAAACTTCGCTTAGAGCTCAATAAGCCCTTCCAGTCAATTTGAACATTACGAATTCTACGACAACAACGATTTTCGCAAACTCCAAGCACTCCAACACCGCCGACAACAGTCCTCGCCAAAATCAGACAACATGTCTCACGAATCAGTTTGGATGTCCAGACCCCGTACTTACGGAAAGGGATCCCGCGAATGGTATGTGGAGAATCAATCGCATCTTGCGATTTCGTCAAGGATCACCAATGATCTTGATTGAGAAAATTCATTTCTAACACACTTAACAGTCGCGTTTGCACCCACAAGGCCGGTTTGATCCGCAAGTACGGTCTTAACATCTGCAGACAATGCTTCAGAGAGAAGGCAGCCGATATTGGATTCGTCAAGGTACGCTCGCTGCAGAATCTACGCACCATCTCACTTTACACCAACAAATCCTTCGATCATCAAAACTGGATTGAATGACCACTAACAAAACTTGTAGCACCGTTAAATTCACCACACCTTGAAAATTAACTCATCGAAAACGGAACGATACGACCACGATGGGTTTGTGGAGAGAATCAAATTAACATGGCATGGAGTTCTGGGCTTTTGCAGGAAAAGGGATACGAAAGAGGACATTTATGGTCAGACTTTAGAGGGCATTTTCAAATGAAGGGATGAACGCTTATGGACACTCGTGTGCTGAGGCGGCTCTGCGATGGATTGTTCTCAAGGTTATGACACCTTTTCAACTGCATCGATCTGGAATGGAGATGGTTCTTTTTCCTAGGGTCATCTGAGCTTGTGTTCATTTGGCTTCGGCTAGGAAGTAGCTTTCTCGGAATATATCAGGTCGTTTTCCTTGAGATATTATGGATTACTCGGATTGTGCTTTCTGAACTGAGTGAATGATTATATCATAAACATTGGAGATTCTAGGTAGGGTGGAAGGTCAAGTGGCCTTTCATTGGCCCCAATTTAGTGAGTGAGGACTCGATAGGTTAATACGCATGGCCGGAATCAAACCCGCCCGGTCGAATCCGCAATTTTGTCTCCATCCACGATCATGAGCGCGGCCCAAAAATCCTCAAATATCCTCATTTTTGGGGTATCAACGATTCTTATCAATCTACCGAGGACGAAAGATCCGTCTACATATATGTCTGGCCGAGATCACAATTCTGTTCCTACATTTCTCTAATAATAACAGCAGTACAGCCCAAATCTTTTTGCCCCTCTGATTCCTTCAAACACGCCACATATTATCAAGTCATAGAGTAAAACAACGATTCGCCTAGGAAAGTTGTGCCTGCCAAAAGTGCCATTTTAAAAGCAATGTGAAGTGCTGAAACTCGTGACATGTTTATATCAACTTCGAGTGAGCTACTGGTTGAATTTCATTGAGGTTCTTGTCCTTGCCAGGAAAATGTCCACAAAGTCTATATTTCATTGCACATAAACTCTGAAGTGGTAGTCACGTTCTGATGATAATATTGTAAAAGCTAGCTCTACCAATATCAAAGGTGCTCTTTCCTTTGCAAGGTAGGGAGGTTTCCTTGAGCTATTTTGTTGTTTTGTCTATTCCATTCGTGCCCAATCACTCTACTAATCAACCGGAAGTTCTTCATATTCAATGGCCAACACAAAGAATGATTCCATACTGGACACCCCGCTCAATTTCGTCATATTTTGGAGCTATAATACACCCATGACAGTATGACCCTGAGAGCTTCACCAGCAACACGCCAGGACTTCTTTACTACAAGTGAACATGATGAACTTCTAGCACAACATAAAAATCATCATTACCACGATTGCATCTCACTGCTTCGCTTTAATACGTCGACACTCTAAAAGCTCAATGAATGTAGCTACTCATTCCTCGTCAAACCAACACTTTACATCACCGATAACGATCTCACATTCATATTCATATTCACAAACTGATTCAATTTTGTTTTGTTATTCAACTTTTAAATATACATGATCTTCGCTCAAGATCGTTGTTCAAATTCTAAATCCTGCATCCAACGCACATACTCCATAAACCAAATTCTATATATAAACAAGATAACAAGCGCTTGACGTATTACAATACAGTTATATACTAATTTCAACCTCACCAACCATCGTCATCGGAGTTGCTCTCCCCATTGACAGTTTAACTGGTCCAAATATCAGCGTGGGGACTAGGGCTCGGAGATCTCGGCGAGATAGGGGTCAGGGCCAAAGTAGTCGTAATTGGGCGGGCGAGGAATCAATTCGAATGTCGAATGTGAAGTGGGGGTTTTGTTTTCTGCAACATGGTCTAAAGCCCACTCCAACAACATTTTCATTACTTTGTACTGGCCATCCGCGGATGATTCTTCAGGATCAATGTTCAGAGGGTGTTCGGGGCACATCATGAAGACAATGCAGAAGCGTAGCTTTTCAGCCTCGTAATACCACTCGACGCACTCGATGATATCACGAAGGCTATTCTTCTGCGATTCAGACAACCCCTGCAACATATTTGGAGAGAGCAAGTCGAAGTCAGTATCCTCATTACATGAACACTCATACTGCAAACTCATAACATCTTCTTCTTCACATCCTTCAAATAGCTGCTCGACGAATTCGACCGGCCATTCACCTCGACACATTGGACAGGTGGGTTTTTTATACTCCGATCTTTGCCCATTTGTCCACGTTCGAAGACATGCTCTGTGAAAAGTGTGTTTGCAGCAATGTTCCACTCGTATGTTGTTTTTCGATACGTTCATTTTTTCGCAACAAATAGGACAGTCATCGACAATTTTTGGGCTGCTTTCGCGGGTTAGTTGGATAATTGGTGATATTGAAAGATTCGCCATTTCTATGGACAAAGTGGTGGTGGTAACGGATTTAACTGACATTCTTTTAATTCCCTTCTTTCTATTTTGCTGGTTTCTGTTTTTCCTATTCTTATGCGGCATGATTGTGTGTGGCGTTTGAGAAGGGAGGTTCTCAATAAAGTTGGTTGAGAATAATAAGGCGGCGAAGATAATCTTTAAAGTATAAGAATGACTTGGAGGGATCTGGTCAAATAGATTGAGAAGAGAAGCTTGAAGTATTTGCTAGAATTATCCTATGTGAGATGTGACATGTCTGGAAAGAAAAAGAATCCAGGAGTTGGGGAAACATCAGAACTTATGTACCTAAATTGTGGTCTAGTTTTCCACTAATTTCTTCTGAACTGCTGTCATGAAGAACGCGGAGGAGAAGACTAAAAGACGCTAAGCGAGACTTAGGGGTACGCATTGGGTAGCTTTGTAGATCTTGGTAACCCAAAATGGTTAGCATTCACAGCATTCTGTATTTTGGTATCGAGCTAGTCTGGAACTAATCTTCTACCTCGAAAATTTTCGTCCTGGTTGTCCTGATTGAGGAAAATTTTCTACCTGCAATTGGACACATGCGAAATGTAATCATGTGGATGACGCGATATTAAAGTTTCAATATTTGAGATTTTCTTTTCTTGGCTTTGTAGTGGTTTAGATCGGAAACGATAGATGGAGCGACTTTAACTAGGAGTTTCATGTTTTATCCGTGTGAAAAAGACCAGCGAAACAATGAGATAATTACACTAGAGGGGCTTGTTTGCCAAGGGTAAGGCAATCCTGTCCAAGTATGTTTGACGACTGAGGACATTCAAAATCCGGACTGATAGACTGGATACAAGCTCCCAATTTCTGAATCCATTGTAGCTTTCAAAATGATTTGATCATCTCAAACTCATCGGAGAGTTGTGGGATAATCATACTATCGATTCGTAGTCAAGATAATGACCATCGACAGCTCATTCTTAGCTACCCACAGTCATATTAACAACCATACAGATCATCCCATCTGAACTCTAGGTATCAGAAAGCATCGGAGTATATAAGTTCTAGATGATGTACTATTCATATGATATCTAAGTAGGTAGCTAGCTCTTTCCAGTCAAATCTTGGCTTTTCGACGCGCATGACTTGATGAGAATATTAGATGTGCAACAATCATTCACTAGATGCTATAACTAGCTTCAAAAACTGAAAATTTCTAGTGTTAAACTACAGTCTAGCCTTTTGATCTTGTCGAGGTTCCGAAGTTGTGAATATTCCTCGAATCGCAGTTGGTCAGTATTTCTGGCACCTGCTTCCTTGATTCCGGGTACGACGTAAGTGACCATCAACGAGGAGCGGTAGATCTTTATGGAATCTTTAGGCAAGTTACTGTGAGTCAATCGTATAGCCTACCAGATATCATCAATCTAACGAGGGTACGCTCGGATCGAGTTTTTTGATCGGCTAAATTCGATACATTGGAGACAGGAGATCCAATGTTGCGTTTACCGAATGCAATACTGAAGCGACTATCTGTCGGCTCGAAGAAATACATGCATGTATTGAATATACTATTGAGTCTACTAAAAATTTGTATCTAGTATACTAGAATAGCAAATGACTCAACCTTCTCTCTTACCATTTTAAATGATAACTTTTAGATAGTATTAAATAAAATAATATATTCGAAAATATCGATATCTTCATTCACCAGCTCAATCCTATATCTCATAGCATCGCTTCAAATGTATTAGCTCCATTGTCTCACATCCTCACCATTTCAACCATTTCTTCAGCTATAAAAGTCAACGATTCGAACGCGCTCTAAGTGATTTTGATGTAATTTACCATTGTTTCCGTTAGTTGTCCATCTTGATATCTACCAAAGTCGAGGTTCTAGGTTAGTAAGTTTAAGTTTTTCCATATACAAATTCGTGATTTCACTCATAATGCATCAGCCAGCCGAATCTTTACTTCATTTTAACATCTATTGTAGGTGCCTATACAGAGGCTTGCATTGTAATGCCTATGGATCGTATGAAAACCATGGAATCGAGAAGATATATCTCTTAATGACTACCCAATGCTAGCTAGTATACATACAGGACGGTGAATCCCTTCATAATATCAGTCGAATATGAACAAAAGCCAGGAACCAGTAAAAAAACATCTCAAAAGTCGAGGAATTCTTTCAGCACAATACCTTCGAATTTTCAACACGACATACCTACCTGCATTCACTCATCTATTTTCAAACTAAGAATCCGTGACTCCTCAAAACCCAACCGACCAAACGAACCGACTCACATAACCCTAGGGCCTAGATATTTTTCTCATAGAAACACATCACCCTTCTTTGTCCAAATCCAAATCCATCTATCCATACCCATACTCAATCCCATCAACCAATTTCCCATCCCGTAAACCCCCATCAACTCATCCACATTCATAAACCTACTGTCTCAAACTCATCCAGATCTTACACTGCCTACCTAGCTAGAATAATTCTCCCTCCATCTGCTTCCATCTTCATCTCCATCTTCATCTCCATCCTCATCTCCATCCTCATCTCCATCCTCATCTCCATCCTCATCTCCATCCTCAACTCCATTCAAATCTAAACACAAAAGTCAAAAGAAATCAATAACATCCTCTCCATTTTATTCCTATACGCGAAATCTTGGGGGAAAAAATCTATGATACCGTTTTCTTTCATACATCGTTCGTACCCTCAGTTCTAATCAAGTTAAGTTCGCTTAGTTGAGCTCTAGATGGGTATGTTCGTTATATGCTAGACATATACTACCTAGGTAATTTCACACTGTGGAAAGAATTTTAGACTGGTTGATGTCCTTGATTCACTCATCTCATTCACAAAAAATAAACATGAAATGGATTCACCGCTACCCAGCTGGATCTATTTCTCCCTTCTAACTTCAATCCTCCTCTACCAAATTCAATCTAAACATCTATCTGGCAGCTCGACTCATCCACTCCCATCAAATATCTACAATTGCATCAAGGAATACCAAAACGTATCAAGAAAAATCTTCTGATATTTTTATTCATATATATCCGGGTATCAATGATCCTCCTATTCATCTTTTCCTTTACATAAAATCCCATCATTAACATCCGTCTTTTCATTTTCATACATCCATCAATCCACATGATTCTTAATTAGCAGGCAAAAGTAGCGACCCACCAATGCCCATACATCCATCCACTTATGAATCTTACACCATCATTAAATCATGCCTTGTTTCGGTTAGCACCTCCAAACTCCCCTTCTCTTTTATCTCATCCACCGATTCGACTCCGTTCTATTCAATTCCAATCTACAACTCAGACTTGGAAGTCTCATTAACAGCTGTAACACCGTCATGATGAGCAACACTAGGACCAAGTTTATCCTCAGCATCAAATTCTCCTCTCTCCAAACGACCTGCTCTCTTGTCAACACCTGTCTTCCAGGCTGGAGTACCCAAGAACTTGATGCTTCCAGGCTTTGAGTAATCGAAGATCTCCTCGACCTCCTCAAGAGGCTTCTGACTAGTTTCTGGGAAGACGAAGAAGACATGAAGGGTCATAGCGACACAGAAGATTCCAAAAACGAGATAAACCTTCCATCTAATGTTGGCGAAGGCAGGTGGGACGAAGTATGCAAGAGCGAAGTTGAAAGCCCAGTTAGCAGAGGTAGAAAGAGCGACGGCCTTTCCACGAATGCGGAGAGGGTAAAGCTCAGGTGGGTAAATCCAGGAGACTGGTCCCCATGTTGGTGCATATGATGCAACGAAAAGGTATGTGCAAGCAATGACAGCCTTGGATGGTGCTCCGGTAATAGAAATGGATTCGGCGGCACTGGAGAATTGTCCCTCGTATGGAACGGTTCCGTATGTAGCCAAGAGACCAGCGTTGATGAAAAGCCAAAGCATCATCAAGATGGATCCGAAAAGAAGGACGGGACGACGACCTAATCTGTCAACCCAGATCAATCCAGGAATTGTCATGACGACATTGATGATGAATTGAATCGAGGAAGGCAAGAGAACGTTGCTACCCAAACCAGCCATGGTGAAAATGTAGGTAATGTAGTACATCATGACGTTCATGCCGGTAAGTTGAGACCAGATTTGAGTGAAGATACCAATGTGTGTTCGGTTGATCATATCAGGCTTGAATAACTCCATATAAGTAACATCAGCGTTGGCTCTCTCGAACTCAACGACTTCTCTAATTTCGGCCAATTCCTTAGCGACGAATGGGGAGTTGGGGTCACCGTGGCCATGGACAAGAGACAAAACTTGGTGAGCTTCTTCCCATCTGTCTTTTCTAGCGAGCCAACGTGGGGATTCTGGCAAGAAGAAAAGAGCGAAGAAAAGGAAGACAGCTGGAATCATTTGAAGACCCCATGGGATACGGAAAGCAGCGTTTCCTTTGAGGAAGGAGCATCCATAGCAAATGTAGAACATGATGAGGATACCCCAGGTGATAGCCCATTGTTGGCAACCGACGAGTCTTCCACGCTTAGATGGTGGTGCAATCTCGGTGATATAGACGGGAACTTGAGCGGAGCAGATTCCAACCGAGAGACCGTTGATGATACGACCGACGATAAGCATAGGAATATTTTGGGCAGCGCAGACGATGATGGAGCCAAGAACCCTGTGGATGCTTGTTAGGCAAGCTATTCATTGAAGACATAAAAAATGGGAATATTTACCAGATGACGGAACCAAGTTGAATGGATCTCTTTCTACCAAACATATCTGAGATATAACCGGACAATAAAGCTCCAA